ATTTGAATTTGTTCCATTCTGTGAAGGTTGTGACCCAGTATCTTCACTTACTCCAGAAAGAATATAAGCAATTTGTTTTCTTCAATCCTATGTTTTGGGTACGTAACAAAAATTATTGTATGTACTGTTGTGCCTTGCAAAATGTGGACCTAATACTTGCTTCTCAATCACTTCGTTGTAGCTGAAATGCGTGTTAGACTATCCATGCATATCTCCCGCAACCAAAAAAACATTCGTTGATCAGAACAATGACGATTCCATGACAAATCCTGAAAAGGTAAACATTAGCTATCATTCTCGCATTTACATTCTTATACAATATGAGTAGCAGCTGCATGTTAGTGGAATTGGATTCAGCCTAACATGCCTTAGCTTTTAACACATTCAACATTGCTTGTTGTATGCGATTGCAGATTTTTTTCCCAATCATTTATTCAAATCCTTGGTTGCTCATGATTGCACATGTCAAGGACAAACAAGTGTACATTGTTGATTCTATGGACAATTACAAAATCTTCTACCAAGGTTTGATGCAATCTGTAGTGAGTAAACTTCAAAAGCCTACCTTAGCTTCATTTCCGAAGAAGGTAACATATTTCTAACATTCGATACTTGCTGTATTTATTTCCTTTTTTAGGAATGGATTTTGATGGAAATTTTCCACGAAAATCAACCCTGGACATTTATTCTTGTAAAACACAAACTAAAACAGACAGACGCGGCGAGTTGCAGGGTTTTCACTTTGAAGTTTGCGCAATGTTGGGCAAAGGGGTGTCGGCCACAATTTGTAAGTGCACAAATGGACAACCCCTTGTGGCAAACTCACTCTATTGCGTCTGACATTGTTTCTGAATGTATGTACAGCTTGATGTTGTCATTGCTAGAAAATTTATTGCTTGGGAGATCGCTTTGGGGAAACTTGCGGACCCGTTCGCTTATGCTGCTTTCCTGATAGAAAATAAACAGGCACATGAGGCTGTAACCAGAGGAGATTTGCAAGATGATGCTACCAAGGATGTGGGGCATCAGGAAACAGGGAACGGTACATTATGTCTCGCCTTTACTGTAATTGGTTCGTTGCATATGAAGGCAATATTAAATTTTAAATTCTTTAGGGCTGTAGCAAATTATTGGTACGAAATTAATCATTGTATAAAGGAAACCATAAAAAGTGTATGTACCTCTGTGCCGATGCATCTCCTCGTGACCATTGCATTCACAAATTGCTTTTCTACTCCAGCTATTCCATTATTGCAGGGCTGCTGCTCACAAATTTGTGATAAATTCTTGACCCCAGAACTTTGCTTTACACTTTCCAATTCCTCTTGTTTGATTTCGCATTATGACATTCAAATTGGATCTCACATGCAAAATCCATGTGCTAAAATGCTGTATGCCTTCAATTTTTCCCCAGCCGAAGGTACAAGGGTGAAAACAAGCCCGCCAGAACTTGCGTCCGCCAATGATTCAAAGAAGAAGCTTCTTATTCTTGATTTGAATGGAGTGCTTCTGGGCAGTGCATTTACAAGGATGACCAGAAATCGGGACTTTAACTTCAGACCACGTTGTTTTGAATTTTTGCAGGTCTGTCTGTCATATTTTGAGGTGGCTGTTTGGTCATCAAAACTAAGGTATCCGCCAACCTATATTTGAATTACTTCATTAACTAGAACGTCCACAAGTTTTTCTGTTATGTTCTGAATTCAAGACAGTTGTGCTTTCTGCAGCCACAATATTCAACCAGTGTTGGACAGTCTATCCAAAAAAATGAATGAACGTTTGGAGTAGAGACTGTTATTTGTTTGGGTGAGATGTCATTCACAAATTACTTCGATTGTGTGTAGTCAGTCCGTGTGTAAGACTTCTGATAAATGAAAGTTGGAAACAATCAATATTGCGCAGGATCAGTCGCGGTGCACTATGACACAAACCAGCCTTATGGAAAATCCAGACAAACCGGTGATGTTTAAGGACCTGAAACATGTGTGGGGAGAATATAAGTCGTACAACAGCTCTAACACGATATTAGTCGATGATTCTCCGTATAAATTCTTCCTTAATTCTGTAAGTGCACCATACCCACTAATCGTTATGTTGTATATGTTCCGGTATGCACAAACAACATGATCAGGGCTAACTGTTTCCATATTACTCATTCTTCAGCCGTACAATGCCATCTTCCCCACCTCTTATACATGTTACACTGTAGAAGACAATTATTTGGGTAAGACGCGGTTCGCGATGCATTGAAATGTGGCTTTTGCTACGGTAAGCACAGGGTGAAAGATTGGCCTGACACAAAACTTATTTGCAGATCCTGAAGGAGATTTTGTACGACACCTGAAGAAATTGGCCAGTGCTGATAATATACAAGATTTTATTAAGCAAAACCGTTTTGGACAATCACCCGTAACAAAAGGCAGTGTAGAGTGGAACTTTTATGTTAATGTTGTCAGCAAGCTTGGACTGCAAAACACAACAAAGCAAGTGACACGCAAACGGGAAGCCCCAAACAGATATTATCTGGAGGTATCCATTGCATTCATGTTCAAGAATATGTTCACAATAGTTCAACACCTCGTTATGATAGCTAAAATTGCGTCTGGTCATATGCACAGACCAAGAAAAAAAGGAAAATTTGAAAGCATGAGGAAGATCAGTGTTCACTGTACGGAAGCTTCTCCAAACCATTGGAAGGAGAGAACCTCTCTTCTGATGGGACACACAAGCAAAACTTTTGTGCTTTAGTGAGACACTGGGCCTGTCTAATTCATATATGTTGGTACTACTTTCTTCCCTTACTTGTGTTTTTGTTTGCAAAGGCCCGTCGTTGAGTTTTTTTATGCAAATTCTAAAAATGTCGAAGTTTGGAATGACGTATGTTGTCTGCAGGTTCCGGAATGCACATGAGGAAAAATTATCAGATAATGCCTGTAATTGCTGTCAAATGCAGGATGCGTCAGCCATATACTCCTGCTACAAACGTTGGCATCTTGAACTATTTGCCCAATTTTACTCAAATGTTAACCTTCACCTCATTGAGATTCCACATATATATTTATAAATGTATATTATATGTGCATATATTTATAATATATATGTGTATGTAGTAATAATATATTATATAATTATACTTATATTTGTTATTACAAATATACTAATATATACTAAAAATTATACTTATTAATATATAATATTCTCTATAATTATAAAAAAATATTAGTACAACTATACAATGTATTATATAAATATATATTATAATTATTTATATAAATAAATTTACTAATTCTAAATTTTTTGGGATAATTTCATAAACCAAATCGCGGTCACTTCTGTAATGTATCACTTTTCCATAAAAGACCAACTCTTTATGACCTTCCTCCATTATATTCGCAAAGCACCCATTTTTCCATTAATAGATTTATTTATCGGATAAAATATATAATAACTCGTTTTCCAATAAAACTCCAGCTGTTTATGGCTTTTCTCCAATATAAGAACAGAGTACCCTTTTCCATAAAATAATTTATTTATCGAATAAAATTAAAATAAATCAGTTGTCTACTAAAACACCAGCTTTTTATGGCTTTCCTTCAAAATGAGTAAACAGAGTACCCATTTTCCCATACGCTAATTCAGGGGAGGTTTGTGAAATTATCCTGTATAATATATATGTGTATATAATATTAATAAATTATATAATTATAATTATATAAAATATCAGTTATGGGTGAAGAACGGAACAAGAGAATTACGGGTGAATTATAGGTGAAGAACGGAAAAATATTAGTTATTGGTGAATTATGGGTGAAGAACGGAAGAAAGCACAGTTTTCTGATTTCTCAACATGCTGGAAGTTGAGACAGTACATGACACAGGGAGCTTTGCAGTGCATTTACAAATTTATTTTAGGATATAGTGGGAATAATGAATTCTTGTATCGGACGACAAAATATAGTTAAAGGCGTTGGCGAATACAAATTCATTTATCGAAAAGCGAAAAAATACACCCGTTGTTCATATAAAAGTGCTTTCTTCCGTTAAACTGACACAATCCCCAACGTGCATCAAATAGAAATGTTTATCGGATGAAATATAATTAAAGCCATTGTTGAATAAAGATCAGCTCTTTATGGCTTGCGACCGTGTTACACTGAGAAAGTATCCAGGTGCCTTAAACACAGATGTATTTACCGGCTGAAATGTACTTAAACCCGTTGTCGAATACAAGAGCAGCTCTTTATGGCTTTCTCCGTTTTAAGTACGAGGTAACCATTTTCCGTTAAACAAATATTCATTTATCGGCTACGTGTAAATTAAACCCCTTTTCCAATAAAACACCGGCTCTTTATCGATTTCCTCCACTATCACAACAGAGTACCAATATCCCATACTTACTAATTCACTTATCGGATAAAAATGTATGGCTAATTTATTTGTTCGATAAAATCGGATCGATATTATACTTGAGCACCATTTACCCTTTAGCATAGAATGTAAAGCAAGAAACTAACCTATTGCAGGTTTTAAACTCCGTGTTAAGACAAATTGTTTCGGATACGTCAAGACACCTAATTCATAAACTCTCGCGAAACATAAATTTAAACGCGTTAATTATTAATTACCACAAATCAAATATTTCAATCCTTTTTCATTTATTTCTAATGACTGCATACCATGGATCACTGTACACTAGTCATAACCAACCACAAATCTTCTCTTAACTCTCGACCACATGAAGATTGTGGTACTCGTTATCCCCATGCCAAGGTCTCCCCACACCACCACCGGCGAGTTTGCTCGGTTGAACTTTACTTTCCCTTCCTCTAATGAAACTCATAGATACACACCAACCGCTTGCTTTACTATGGTAGATTTTGGACTCTCTGTCTCCGTCTTCTACATTTTAGGCTACGACGACGTCCATCCGACTATGACAGCCCCTATTACATGGCTCTTTCCACAAAATGCCGCTACTTTGTCTCTCTATCTTGCCACCTTCATCCAACCTCAACTTTATTCATCTCCAACCTCCTGTGCGTGTTCGCTTTTCGCATAATTTGATGACGGACAATGTTGGCATCATCCAGAACCAAAGACAGTGCTACTTTGCGCCGCTCCTGCTCCGAATTGTACTGCACCGATAAATTTGTTACTATCTCCATCGTTCGCAACCAATGCAAGCAAACATACTTACTGTTAAAGCACACGACGCCATTCCTTTTTCCTTACCTGATTCCATTTCCAGCTTCCAATTCCACTTGATAACATATCCATGTACTTCAGCATGAATAACCCACAATCCCACCTGCATTACAAACCATAACCACAAATTTAGACAATCGTTGCTGAACTATGCAAAAAAATTCCAAACCTATGCACATGCAACTTACGCATTCCGTTGCTGTGGACATGTGGTTGCAGCTTTTATTTTGTACAGCCAAAGGCATGACGAATACTGCCCCTCCAAACCATAAATCAGCGCTGCTTCCAACCTTTCAATCTGAGGGTCATACAAGAAAAACATATACAATTTTAAGTTTACTGCCACCAATTGCAAAGGTGATGGTCGTGTTCATGAAATGTTTGACAAACCAACTTAGTTTACCATAGTCTCCACGGAGCTGCGCCTATTCATATCCGTTTGCTCGTGTTCTCTCATTGAATCATAAATTAATACTTCTTCGCTTCCCATGTCCACCACACACATATACCAATGCTCGTCGTGCCACATTGGCACGAATATCTGAAGCATAGCAGCGGTTAGTTAGTCATCATCATGGGAATCTGTATCTATTCCATTATGCTACATAACAGGGTAGCTTCTCGTACCTTCTCACACTTTTTTATATTACCTCCTACTTTACATTCCTGTAGATATGTACAGTACAGCTCGTCTGCTGATTTGTTGAACTCCAAAATCTCTTGCTACAACATGACAGTAAAATATGACATTTTAATATGAATGTACGTACTCACTCCCCCCAACTTTGGCCGAACACTTGTACCTGAAACCAAGTTGGCATGAACCACCATCGCATTGACTGATCTATAGCACGCCTTTGCTGCCTTGCTGTTTTCATCGCACAATAGCAATTGATTATCTGCACCAAACTCAAGTCACATCACTTCGTCCTCCATGAAACAGTCCACATAACACCACCCAATTTTAATCCCTCGATTTACTCACATCACATGCCATAGGTTTTTGAGGAAGTAAGGACCCCATTGCATCCCGACTTGCTGTCTGCCCCTAAATTGACACCAGTACTTCCCTGTCATTACAACAGGGTACATTAATCTTTTCCCTATGTGTATTATGGTTTCATAATCTACAAACTTGATATCATCATTTTCAATGACTCGAGTTAAAACGGCCAGAGTAGGTTTGCTCTTCCTCACTAATACAACCAGCAATCACGGTTTCAATGACTCAATCGTTCCTTAGGGTCATTGAGTTAGCCTAAGGCGGTTATGTACTCACCATAAGGGTCATTGAGTTATCATTGTAGTTCCATTCTCAAATTTCTGGAATACTCACATTTTATTTTATATGCAAGCATGTTACCTACCCTTGCTTTTTATATAAGCAAGCATGATTGATAGCACACAAATTGTAAGTTTTATGCTCACTTGTAAACCAATTTTAACTGCTTCCAAGATTTTCGTTCCTATGCCCTCTCCCCTATGGGGATAATCATACTACATATTTAGTCAACCTTATAATTGCAAATACTTTTCTGTCCCCTTTCCCATTGCAATTTCAAATAATGGATAAAACAAAATAGAACTGTTGATTTAACAAATCCATGATCCAGTACATACCCTTGCGACAGCTGAGTGTCAAATAAGAACTTCAGTATTTTTGCTCGTCCCTCACTCAATTTTTCGCCGATAGATGCCAGCCTCGTTTCCTGCTACCACAAAAATATGTCATCTTTCATTGTCTATAATTTCCCATACTTCAGTAATTCTTGAACCTTGGAATACTCACCTTTGCCAATAAAGCAACCATCTTCGTTTGACACTTGTTCATCCCACTGCTATCCATCTGTACATAAAACTACAATTTATACTTTACTTTTCTAATGCTAAAAATACCTTGGCACAAACCGATGCATACCTTTATTCTTTTACCTTGCCTTCTGTTTTGTTTATCTTCCCACACAGGTTTCTCCGTATTGTCCATGCTTAGTCTCTTTCTACTCCTCCACTTTGTAATTTTCGATGCACTCTTTTCACCCATTACAGTACTATTCGTAGTGACTCTATCATTTTCACTCCTGCTTTTGGACCTAACATCTGGCGTTGTAGGACTAAATTTATGTAACTCACTCCCTCTTTTAACATTACCGCGCCAATCGTCCTTCTGCCCACCCTCCACACCAAGTGCCCGGTTTGTTTTGCACACCCTTCCACTTTCATACATGCTCCTCAGCCTTTCAAAACAACATTCAATCATTGCTTCCATTCTACCAATACTATCCTTCACATCTTTATTACCACATTCAATTTCAATCAGTCTTCTTTCAATATCTTCTCTACAGCTTATATTATTGTAAAACTGCACATTGCCCTGTCACTACAAGCCTTCAGTTTTGTACTATTAGTAACGTCACAAAATGCAGATTGCAATTTCAACAACAATTCACACGAAAGGATTTTACATTACCTGTTCCCCCTCAAATATGTGATTCCTCCTCAATATTCGCACGCTTTCATTAATCTAGTACCTTCCCCAAAATCTTAGCCTCGGCCCTCTCGGCTGGAACTTGCGAAACTCGTCCTCACCCTCGATATAGAATCGTTCCAGATAGTAAATCTGCAGGGACAAAAATGCCTACCATCATTTACGGGTCTTTTCTATCAAAGTTTAATTTCATTATTCCAGCAATTCCTATCTCTAATACAAAATGGTGCGTCTTTCTTATACCATCAAGAAAAGTGCACTTCCCGCTATTCCGTTGCCGTCTCTATCATGGATGCTTTTCACCAAATTGTCAAGTATGAATTTTGACCAGTTCAAATTTTCCATATTCTCCGTTGTAGCCACTACAGCCACCAGATCCCGGCACACTGTGTCATCCAAACTTGGTGCTAACAACCTACCAACAACAAACAGTACGAACTTCACTTTGAATTCTAAGCCTTCGTTATGCAAACTACATGCCTCAATTCCTCCACTACAATTTCACCGCTATTTATTCTGATATTCAATTCCCTTTCCAACTCTGTATCCATCTCTTGCCTTCGCTTTTCGCTTTCAATATCTTTCCCACGGCTGCTCAAGCCAAGTACACATTCCACATTCTCGCCTGTCACCTGTAGACAGTGCCCATGAACGTTCAGTGTCCTCCGATCTACATCAAAGTTATCCACCAGCCACTTCAACATCTCTTTGTCAACCTCTACTCCCTTCACATTCAAAATTGACCCGAATCCAAACTCTCTGATAGCCTGCCGCTGCTCATCCGAGATCCAATCCACCATATTCTTCACGGAATGAGTTGAGTGGCTTACCATTGTTTCCGCCGTCCGACGAATGGCCTTCCTTTCACTGCTGCAACTTTTATAATTCGAAGGTGTTCCACTCTCATGCATCAGCGATACTACCATTGTTTCCGGCGTCCGATGAATGGCCTTCCTTTCACTGCTGCAACTTCTATAATTCGAAGGTGTTCCACTCTCATGCATCAGCAATACTACATTTTCGCTTTCTCCTTCACTGTCCCACTGCATATCCGAAGCATCTATTTCTGCCGCCAGCTCCATAACAAATCCCTATCTCTGCTATTCCGCCTGCTCTGGTTTTGGCGCTTCTTCCTTTCTAATACGCCTACACTGTTTAGCTTATCCAGTAAGTTTCGCGCCTTTTTTCCCTGCCGTACTTTCGCGTACAAACCCTCACTTTTTCGGTTGCTTAATTTCGCCCCCTCCACATTTCACATGCGCGGTTGGAGTCCCCTTCAACGCCCAATAGATCTTCAGGTTGCACGTCACAAAATCCCTTTCCACATGCCCGGCCAACACACTTCCCCTACTGTTTGTGGCCCGAAATGCTTGAATGTCTTTTCGCTTAACTTTCCACACCTCTGTTTTGGCATCTAAACATACCGCAGCAACATCCTTCATTTGACACTTCTTTATATTTCTGTCTAAATTTGGGATGGTTATATAGTGGAGATAGTACGGATGTCTCCAGGAAGAGTAAAGCAACGGATTGGAAAGATGTGGTGTACAATGAGCCACCGTAACAGCATTAATGGGGAGGGCCAGCATGTGCTGTGTCCTTGCAACACAACAGTATCGATTTCAAACCGGTTTGAAAGTGAGTGAGGTGGCATCCATGAGATCCGTGAATGCTTAGTGGTGGGTCGAGGTGGCAATAGGTAATTAAAATAATTCAAATGAATCAGCACCACGGACTGTTTTGCAAAGTAAAAGTACAAATACCCCTGGACTCGAATAAATTGCTTTGGAGGACAATGGGTAGGGACATTTGTGCAAGGTTTACGTTTAGCGAGAAATAAAAAGTGCACAATAGCGGGCCATGTTTGTTTGTTAGTAACTCATTTAAAAATTGAATGCATCCTCCGGGCTCCAATCTCGCATAGGCCTTAAACCGCTACGAAGCTAGACCCTTGTCAAATTGGTAAGTATCTTTCAGTTTTGAATCTACCTCGAGCTTAAAACATTACAAAATAATTTTTTTATTTTTTAAACAACATAAACAAAATAATAATTTTTAAATAATTATTAAAATATTACAGATATATTTGCTTCATCCGTCAGAATTATATCACATCCCACATTTAATAAAATAAGATGAATTGAAATGGTATTTTATAAAGACATAAGTATCTTCAATATATTTTTTCGATTGCCTTCACGGAACATACACAACCCTTTGTCGTTTTTTTTAACGATTTTTTTTTATCTTTATTGTACCTCTCTGTATGATTCAAACCCGGATGAAATTATGACCATCTATCAGAGACATAAGAATGAACCAATCTTGTAAGATTCCCTTTAAATTCTTAGTTTGCTTTGGGAAGAATTCTTATTTTAATGTCCTCAGTATTGGCTATTTTAGACTGGCGTAAATTATATAAGTACAAACTACAACACATTTCCATACAATTAGTTATTTCATTTTTAAGATTCACATTTTAAGTTATCCATAATTATGTGAATACTATTTTTTACGATAGGCATTCAAAAAATGTACATACAAATGAGATGCATTGACACCTATAATATATATTATTAATGTTACATTCGTTGACAAATGGCCTAAACTTTTTGGGACTTCATTAAAGCAACATATTGCATCACTAAGTTCTCTCATAATTGTTCCCATTTAAGAGGTTAACGGTACAACTTGGAAATTTTTTCCCATTTTTTTAATCAATAAGGTCATTTTTAATGCAATGTTGTAACTACATCCATGAGATTGTCTTAACGGTTTTAATGCATTGCTAATACCTTGTGCATTTTGCTCTCTACCAAATTACGGACACAATTTTTTTCCTTTTTTTCTACTTGCCAAGCGATCATTCATCTACTTTCCATTATGTTTCTCTTCCATTTAATTTTACTAGTTGCACAAATTTTCTTACTTTTATTATACTTTTATAATATGTTTTCCACAAGCCAAATCCATCTAATTACATGATGTTCAAGATCTATTCACATATTATATGAACATTATTTGTCCTTCATTGAATATTAAATGACCTATAAATGTTGCTCGAA